TTAGTAATGCCATATTTTTGTACAGCCTCAAGAACACGCTGAAACCACTCTTTAATAAGCTTTGGATCCTCACATAGAGCCCGTTGATGATCATATCTGCGGCTATATTTGGATTTGAGCTCGTGGTGGCGATTGATAAATCTTCGGACCCAACACTGGCCAACAGTAGCTGGTGCATTTAACCGGCTAGATAGTAATAGACTGGCCATATCTCGTACAATGGTGATTCGTGGTGGTAGTCCCCGTTGGTCCATAGATAATATCCATTTGACAAGCATAGATTCTTCAGTGGTAGTGAGCTTTTTGCTGTTTGGTGTTGCATCTACGCGTGCAGTACGCCCGCGTAGGCGGTGGTAGAGTGTTGGATGTGGCACATTATATGCCTGTGCAGCAGCCCGTATGCTTTTAAATTGACCATCATTGAAAGCTTTAATTGCAAGCAAGATACGGCCCTCTTGATGAACTGCTGAATCTGCTGTTTTGCGTGGCATTTTGGTGGTTGAAGTTGATGAGCGCGTCGCGTAGTTTGGTGGGGTGTTTCGCTCGGTGATCTGTTTCGCTCGGTGATTGATTACGTTAACTATATAGACTTGTTTGTTACCTTGTATAGGTATGGTTAAAAAATCAGATTATCTGCTTCTTTAGTTCCAAATTTGGCATAGCGCCATATTGGTTGACCGTTGACAGGGAGCTACCTTGACGAGGCTTAATTAGTGATGGTGTGATATGACCATGGATTGGTCAGGCATTATTCTCACCATTTTGTCTACTCAAGTTGAACGTTAAATAACTGGGCTTCAGGTCGTTGCCAAGAAGTGAAGACAACACTTTGCACAAGATGGCTAAAGATACAGTACCTATTGTGAGTTTCTGAAACTCTCTGCGGCCGTCGCGCATGCGGAGGGCCCTGGGTCCGGAGCATCTATAGGTAGGCATTAGCAAGCCTAGGTATTTCTCCCCTTTCAAGCCTAGACCAGAGCAACGAGTCGTTGAAGGCTTGTTGTATATATAGTTTTTGGCTGGCAAAGAATTCAAAGGCCAATCCTGGCCAGTTCCAACACCAAATCAAGAATGCCATTGGATGTATCGCGGCAAACTGGACTCGTAGGACCTCGCTGCATGCTTCGAACGAATGCGCCGCAACAATTCGCCGCATCCAGCATTCCATAAAAGCAGTCTTCCGCCTTCTGCCTTGGCTGAGGGAGGGGCAAGACATCAATACATTGGTTAGGCAACCTCGGATCAGGCTGACTCCTTCCTGCAAGTTTCAGCCTCATCTCACGACACTACCCCTGCATGGGAGCCATAGATAAACGGTGGTTTCCGGGATAGCAAAGCTTGAGGCTCTTTTTTTCCGGTTCAATCCGGACTTCTTTGGATGGCTCAGCACTATATGGGGATCGCAATCTCTGGAGCTATCGCCCCCTCCTACAGCGATAACTGCTTCCATGTCTTTGAGGGTTCATCTCTACAAACAAAATAATTGTTTCTTTCCTGTCTCCCTTGCCGAATAGCTGAACATGGAATTCGACCATGCAGACCTGGGGCAATCAGGGGGAGAATTGGAAAAATGTGAAGGAGAAGAAGAGAGAAAGGCAAAGGAGGGAGATGGAGAGGACAAATACGACGAGAGGGTTGGTAATGATGACTCGGGAAGTCAGGAAGAGGACAACAACAAGGAAAACGACAAGAAAGATGACAAGGAAAATGACAAGGAAAATGACAAGGAAAATGATAAGGGAAACGACAAGAAAAATGATGAAGTGGAAAACGGGATGGATGAAGATGACAAGGAAGAGAATGAGGACAACAAGGTGGGAAGTGAGAAGGAGGAATATGATGAGGAGAAAGGCGAGGACGACAACCACAGTGACAAGGACGACGACAACAAGAACGACGAGGGAAACAATGAGGATGAATCCGATAAGGCCGAAAGTGATGAAGACAGTGACGATGAAACAGCAGACGAGAGCTCCACGGGTCCAGACCCCAGGGATCTCGCAGACACCGTTCTTGAATCCGTGAAGGCCATGGCCGGCCTCTGCAAAGTGAAAGAAAAGTTTCAACAGCTCCACGCAGAGATCAGGGCAAAAACAACACAGGAACTAAAACTAGGAGACAGCCCTTGGGGTGCTGCGTTTCTTGGAAATCCAGGGACAGGTAGGAATTCTTGCATATCCAAGGTCTGCACGCTAATATTAATACCATGTTCTCAGGCAGGATGATTGTCGCTCGGCTCTATGTGAAATTCCTCGTCGCTCTTCGCATCGTCCAGCCCAGGATGACAGTGCTCACTGAATTCGACAATCTGCACAATCTTCCCTGCCCTTCCTTTTCAAAGGAATTGGATTGTGCAGACGGTCGGGACACAGATTCTGCTCTAGAAGGTGCGTTCGTAGTAAAAGACCCCGATAGCTGGACCAGCAGGAACCTAGAATGCGTTGAAAGACAAGCCAAAAAAAAAACATGGCTGTATCCTTATCTTTATCGGAATTTACAAAGACACGCAACGCTTGCTGGACTCTTCTCCCGCATTAGGAGACTTCGCCGCTCCGCATCGCTTCATTTTCGACGATTACGGCCCGGACGAACTCCGGCTGATTCTGGAACGGATTCTCCAAGAGAAGTATCATGGAAAAATGAAGGTGGAGGGAGGATTGGACGGTCCATACATGAACATGGTCGCTCGGCGGGCCGCAAGAGGAAGTGGCCAAGAAGGCTTTCTCAACGTCATTGCCCTACGGAGAGAGATTTCAAAAATCGTTAGTCGACAAGCCCTACGTATCGCTCGAGAGCAGGAGCAGAATGGGACTCCTCCGGACCCCTTCTATTTAACCAAGGAAGACTTGTTCGGTCCCGATCCGAGCGCTGCAGTCGAACACAGAGAAGCATGGCTAAAGCTGCACCGTATGGTCGGGCTCAGTTCGGTCAAGGAATCGGTGAGACAGCTTCTCAAACTGGTGCAGCTCAACTACCAGCGAGAATTACGGGGAGAGCCGATTCGCCAAGTTGCGCTCAACAGAGTCTTTCTTGGATCTCCAGGAACTGGTAAAACGACGGTTGCGCGGCTCTACGCACGGATCCTGGCAGATCTTGGCTTGCTGAGTAAGGGGGAAGGTAGGACATATTCATCCATTCACACATTCATTCAATTGTGATCTTGCTGATTGAAAAAGTTATTCTCAGGGACCCGACAGATTTCATCGGCATATATCTCGGACAGTCGGAGGCGAAAACGCGCGACATCCTCCGGTCAGCAGTAGGCAGTGTCCTAGGCCCAGCAGCGAGAAATGCACGATCTCTTCCGGTCGTTGTGTATGACGCGCTCGTGGGGGAACGCTCGCGATGTGGAGACCATTGGAGAAGGCGTCTACCAGACAGTCCTGCGCGATTGCAACGACCCGAATAGCCAATTGAAAGCAGATGCGAGCGTGGTGTTGGAATGGCTGCGTTTGATGCTGAACAAAAGGAACAGGAAGGAGATTGTTCTTAATTGAGACTGTGCAGGATAAATAACAGAGCCTTGCGAATGGAGCATCGGTCTGACAATTATATCTACCTAATATAGAGTCGCACAGCTCCTACACACCGTCCAAGGACGGTTTATGCTTGTGACAAGCCCTCACCCTAGGCCCTAAGCCCTGGATCTCATCATCTAACCAATCCCATGGGCTCTTCGTCGAATGCTGACTAAAACCAATTTACAGCTTCAGCGGGGTATTTATCAATTGACCAATCAGTCACTTTCCTACCCCTCACAGCCACTCGCCCTTATACAGTACCTATAGTCTTCATACTAATCCTCTAGAGCATTGGTAGTATCTATTGGTGAGTGGCGTACATTAATGAACAACGTAATTCACCACTTTTAAGGGCTGTGCTAAATTGTCGATAGATCCAATCTCGGACATAAGGCTTGAATACGGCTCCATGACACTAATGCATACATATCTCCTGAGGAGAAGCGTTCGATCGACAAATATATCGAAACGGAAATGACGAAGATATTCATGTGTGTATTGTCTATATTGACATCACTTACTATTGTGACACTTTGGTGCTAACGGTCCCAAGCACCGGCGTGACAGGCTACATCGGCGGCGACGCGCTGTATGCACTGGCAACAAAGCATCCCGAGCTATCGTATACAGCCCTCGTCCGCAGTACTGAAAAGGCAGAACAAGTCAGGGCACGCTATCCATCCGTGCGAGTTGTGATCGGCAATCTGGGCGATTCTGATCTCTTGAAGAAAGAAGCTGCAGACGCGGATATTGTGTTGCGTGAGTAATCCATCCTCTGCTAATGAGTTATGTAGCACAGCACTCATCCATACTGCTGCAGACACGGCAGATGCCTCTGACCATGTTGGAGCCGCCGAGGCCATTGCTGCGGGCCTCGTAGCGGGACATACAAAAGATAAACCCGGGTACTGGCTCCATACTGGAGGTACCGGCATCCTGACCTACGAAGATTCCGATAGGGGAGTCTATGGAGAGAAAAGCGACAAAGTTTACAATGATCTGGACGGTGTCGACGAACTCGTTAATCTCCCTGATCATGCCTTCCACCGGAATGTCGATAAGATTGTGCTGGAGGCGGGCACGAAGCATGCAGATGTTGTCAAGACGGCTCTTGTTTGTCCGCCTACAATATATGGTAAACGTCCGCTTTTTTTTTCCTCTTTGAATATTTGAATTAATTAGATTGGATACTGACTGTCTTCCTTCCAGGCACCGGTCGAGGCCCAGTTTCCCAGAGAAGTCGTCAGGTCTATGAATTGAGTAGGGTGACCCTCCAACTGCAGAAAGCACCCATAATCGGCGCTGGCCAGTCATACTGGAACAACGTCCACGTCCACGATCTGAGCGATCTGTTCACTCTCCTCGCAGAGGCTGCCATCGCAGGTAAAAACGACGACGGCCTCTGGGGCAGCAAGGCGTATTACCTTGCAGAGAACGGAGAACATTGCTGGGGAGATATCGCAAGGCTGGTTGCGCAATCGGCAGCGAAGCAGGGCTATATACCAGAAGCGAAAGCTAAACAAATCGATATCGAGACAGCGAGGAAGCTCGCTGGGTTTGAGTCGTTCAGCTGGGGGTTGAATTCCCGTGGACGAGCACAAAGGGCACGGAAACTCCTCGGTTGGAAGCCTTACCGACCGAGTCTGGAGGAGGAGCTGCCGGGTATTGTCCAGAGTGAGTGGAGGCGTCTGCAGAAGTAGCTTTTTTTTTTCCGCAGTCAATTCTTCAAATGTTGTCTCTCATTGGATGGCTGTATAGGAAGTAAGGCGTTGCAGATATACCATTTCTCTGTTCCAGGATTCTTTGCGTCGATGTTACACATGCCCCTTATTGTCCCGAAAGCGAAGGCAAGGTCCTCTAGTAGCTTTTTTGTCTATGAAGTAGAAATTCTCGTCGACTCCTGGACTAAATTATGATGGTGATGGATGGTTAGAGAGGGAGAGGACAGAATCATTGATGTATAGACCGACTATACGCCCAAATGATATCATTCCACGCCCTTTTTTGTCTTGGATAACTGTTTTCTTTGGCTTCACGGGTGGGAACACTTTGACGATAGAATTTTTGGTACAAATAATTCACTTTTTTTTTTAAATACTCAGACTCCCTGGACTCTTCTTGACGTTAGTAGGTACAGTACAAAACAAACAAAAAAAATATATCAGCGAGCATGCCCCCGCGTTAATATTTTGCTGTCTTGAAATGTCCAAGGCCCTCACGTGGCTCATCAGCTTCTTCCTCCGACCAGTTCATTTGTTCCACAGTCAATTTCCTCCTCCCAAGTGGGCCCCATTGGCAATTTCATCGATTTCTTCTTCCTCTTCCTGTGTGAATGGGATATAAAGGTAGGGTGTCATCGTATCGTCCATATCTACTTCTTGTGTTCCGACTCTCTTGATTCTAGACATCTCGCCGTTTATTCGAAACAAGAAAGAAAGAGAGAGAATAGGAGAGAAAGTCGGAGGTGGACAAATTCGTACTCATGTCTCTGCCCTTCTAAATCACTCAGGCTAGCGATCTTCGAGGAAGACATTGATTCATCGTCACTGAAACCGGAGAAAACAAGCGCTGTTGTCGTTATATACATCAAGGTAAAGAAAGGAGCCGTCATTTTCGTACCACTGGACGAAAGGGAAATGCATGCAAGAATACCATTTGATGATTTTCTTGGGATAATGAGTTCGCCACAATTCCTGTAATTCCAACAAATAATATCGATATCCGCTTCTCCAAGTTATTAGCCCACCAGTCCCCAGCGATTGATATCAATTGCAATGACGAGCTCCGCGATCTGCTCATCCTTCTATCCATCACTCTTTTTGCATCTTCGACCGACTCGAGGATGCTGCTGCAACGGCGTGATGGAATTGGAGTTCGTAGATTCACATTATCTGATGGGACTGATCGATGGATGAAGCGGCTTGATTCTCTAGAGATCAGGCCTGCGGCCCGCAACTAAGGCGCCTGCAATGCGGTGAAACTAAGCGAGCCGAAACAGCTGCCTGGGTATCTGGGGCATCCAACATTATCCTTCCGATTGCCACTCTCGCGCCTGCAGCGTGCTCCATGGTGTAGAGATGGCCTGAGAGATTGCCCGGTCCCGTTGGGACGGGGATGCCACTGCACGGCCAACGATATGGGCCTCCATGAAGGGCTCTCATGATCTAAATGGACAAGGTGTCGATGCCTTTCATTTCATGGCATTTGTCGTAATATACCCTTGCCCAGACCACTGGTAGCGTCTTGATCTCGGTCTGATTCCTAGCCGTTGGATGGTTCTTAATGCTAACGCTCTCAGTGAGACAATCGTCCACATATTTGTGGAAGCTTTGCGGGGTTGGCCCGATGACAATGGACTCCTCTCCAGGTTGTGCCTACCAGTTGGGGGTTTTCAGAGGCAAGGGGGAGACGATCCAAGGTGTATTGATTCACCTTGTCTCTCCACTCCTTCACACCTGCTGCCTGGAGCTCCCATCTGGCCCGACTAACCTTCTTCCCGCTGTGCTTGCTATGACCAACATACATCCGCATATTGAATGTGGGATGGTCCTTGTCAATGACAGACTCCCATTCCTTGACCCAGTTGCTCTCCAGCTTGGCTGGAACCAGGAGCAGATTGAGCCCGCCTTTGGGCTTGAAGTTGCAGGTTGGACTCCCTGCCGTGCAGGGGCAGGGTATCGGGAATTCTTGTTGTAATATGCCCGTGCCTAGACCACAGGTAGTGTCTTGATATCGGTCTGATTCCTTGAAGAAAACCTTTACCCGGGTTTTCTGGCGATCCTGCAGCTGTCGAGGTGGTCTTCAACCAACGTTCGGCCTCCGAAGCGTCTGCTGTTGTTGCCATTTGCGGATTGTCGAAATCTGCGCGCGTCAAGGCCTTACTGGAATGATTAAACAATGTGCTCAGAATGCTCGGCCCTAACCATACCGAGTAACTCTGAGTCCTTGTACCGGAGACAATGAGACTGCATGTCAAAGCCGGCATTCTCATGCGGGAGCGTTGGAAGTGTTGTGTAGCTGAGTTGATTAAGCGAGGATAGCTCCTGATTGTCGTTCTTCTCACGGAGATGAAAGGCTTGCCAGAGAGTCGGTTCACAGGAACAGTCTGGAGCAACAGGGACAGATATGGTGAGGAAACTTAAGTCTTTGCGGCCATACGGGTGGTCTGGATCCTCAGACCGCTTGCGTTTGATGCGAAGATGGACTTCCTTGTAGGATTCTTGACCATGTGAATGGTGTCATGGAGGATTGCAGACTGTTCCCTTTTCGGCAACATCAAGGGAGACGAGGGTTACTTGTGTTTTCAACATATTTAGGCGAAAAAAAAAAGCACATAGTCGACTTGATTCTATCGACTCTGTCTCTGGTCAGTCTGCGGAGAGACTGGCTGGCTCACAAACAGGCATTTTTCTGATCAGCAGCCCTAGGATATGTATGGGCGATGGGGAAGGCCTGACGAATGATCGCGTCAGACAGTTCACTGACACCGCGAAGGGTAGATGTGAGGACTCATGGGTCACCCACTTCGGTAGGCTCATATGCGCGGAAGGAACCGCGTTCGCTTGTGTCGTTTCTTCGCAGAATCGCCTGGAGAACAGCGACGGTCATTCCATTCTCGAGCCGATGGTTCGCTCCCCCGCTGGACGCAATGGCAACTAAAGTTGGCATAAAGGCAACACGGTGGGCATGTCCGGAGTGCGCCTGTTGGACGCACGGCCGCATGAGGCGGATCGTTCCCACGGGCTGAATCGGTGCGGGGACCAGTGCAATCGGGATCTCGGGCTGAGACCAACTAAGACTGGTCTTCTCGAAGAGAATGAGAATGCGGATGTTCGAGGCGGGCTTGCAGGAACTTCGGATAGTGGGGGACGGTCCTTAATGTGTCGAGAAGATTAATCCCTCGCCAACATGGGCGTTGTACTCCAACTCCGAGAGCACATGGTTGAAGAGCGTCTTTTCTCTGATTTGTCCACACTCCACGATTAAAGCGAGATGTTCCCCAGTGTCGACTAAACAGGTACTTGGATCCAAGGTGCTTCCTGGCATTCTGTCGGCGAATGACCTTTCTCTCGATCTCTGAACCGCTCCAGTCCAAGCAGTACGTAAAGGTCTTCGGGTTGTTCTGACTTATCCGTTGGATCCGGCCATATGCTTGGTTCTCGATGTTAGGAATACTCTGTGGTTCCATCACAACCATGCGGAAGGCACGAGTGCAAGTGACACCGTCCCACAAAGGTCAATAGTGCTGATAAGGATCTGGGGACTTATAACACCGTCGTAATCAACCCCGGGATCCGCACTCTGCAAAGCCGAAATAACACCGGAAGGATTTTTGGTGGTAGCCGAGATAGTGCTCCTCACAATGTGAGGATAGCACCGTTTGAGGTGCTGGAAGGGTTAGCATCTCTGTGGGATCTTGCGAGGGGAGGTGTACAAGGGCAACAAGAAATACCTCGGTCAACATCTCCGCCACAGCAGGAAAGAACGTCAGGATGAGGAGCTTTTCAAGCCGACCCAAGTGATCCTTGCCCAACTGGTCGTTTTGATGTCACAGATGCAGAGACTTGGTTGGATTGGTATGCTATATGAGCGAAGGACAACGCGTGCTAGTGATCTAGGGCTGGACTGAATGGAGGTAGAAACATCGGCGTCTCGATTGATGCTGCTGGAAATGGATCTCGAAGTATTTCAGACAGGACGTCGGCATTTCGACATTTCTGCCTCCTTCTCATTTGTATGGATGCCGTCTTTGGACTATGATCCCTCGTTTGACCCGTCATTCATAATAGTATGCGAAAGCAATGATGTGGAAGTCGACTTCGAGGACCACCGGTTACCCCAACTACTGCCCATACAGTTTGATTTCGAGCGACCAAACTCAGACGGCAAGTTATTCACATTCGTAAACGGACAGAAAACTTTTATGATGTTAGTTTTCTGAGACCCATTTCGAAAGCTTAAACTAGACTTACCACATCAAGCTTTGTTTGCAGGATTCTCTCCGTCATGATGAATGACTTGTTTCACATCATACTGTATCCGTCTCCATCTTGCCAAGCCTTGAGTGATTCCTCCAGAAACTGCCTGAACTTGTGATAAGTCGTAAACTTGTATCGGAATCCTGAATAAAGTGCTGGGAAGAGGGATGATAGGAATGCCACGTCGAGGAAAACGGAAGTAAAAGGGTTATTCTTGGCTGATTCCGGCTAAAATTAGCAACCCTTCTGGTGGCTTCAGGTCCTTGGCTTCGCCATTGTGATTCAAGCACTCTTTCTTTTGCGCATTTAGCGGAGGACTCGTAGGTTCTGTCCTCCACTAGAGTGAGCATTCACGGACGTAATCGGCGCCCAGGTCGAAAGATTCACACTGATCCGCAAGTGAGCGGCGCGGTAAGGAGTTGGTTCTCAGTAGCGTGGCTGCCATAGCTTGCTACATCTTCCGGGTCCCTTCTGGTGCAGCTATCGGTGGTTTGTTAATACCTGCAGATCACCCATGTCATGGAGGTTAGCCTGTTTTCCTTCAACAGGGTGATATTCTCCAGATCGCTTTCCCAGTGTTCCGTTCCAGGGAGCATATTCTTTAGCAACAAATGCAAATGTTAGCATATGTATTCATATTTTCCATCTGATAGCGACTCACCTATTTATATTGATTGGAGAGCCGCGCAGCAGCCCAATCATCAGTGAGTGAAAGGGCTGAAAATTGTTCTAATGCATCTTCTCTTAGATCAACTTGGACTGGATCGTCATGTTTGTTGCTCTTGAGCGAGCTGTCGTTCATCCAATGTTAATCCTTCTTCCAGCCAACAAGTCTGTGTTGACGGGCCTGCAAACTGCGCCGTCATAAAATCGCTTTGCTGTCCGCCTGGGTTGCCTCTACCGGGCCTCAGTGGCAGTGTCCTCAATATCAGGGAACGCAGTCCTTATGAATGAGCCAGGGGCCATGCAACCTCAGTGCCAACACCCGTACCTGCCAGATCACCTGGCACGGAAGTCATTCTCGCCCGCAAAATGTTTCCACAGAGAGTTAGGTCATCGCCAATAAAGGTCCAGACCGGCGACCATCATGTCGTCGCCTAATCTTTTCCTTCCATATTACCCTCGTCTGGTCAGAGACACCGATCCATGTTGGTGGTCTATGCGAGTTCACAGCAGACGAACAAATCAAGTCTCGATTCCATTCCAAAGACCCAGTCCAGACGGCGATATTGACATAGCTCATATGACCACTCTGCCTTCATCATGGATAGCTTCTGGACCTGTTTGTGTGCTTCGTGCGGTTCTTTCTCAGCCTTGATAATGAATCGTCTTGGACTTCGACTAACCCTAACACTCAGAGGTCGCGGGACCAGTTCCGGTCGGGGACATGTAGCAACTTTGCCAAATCCTCATGGCTGACGTGCTCAGCGGCGCAGTGCGACTCTAAGGCAGACGAGCCGTTGCGTTTCTTGCTGGCGGTATGTTGAACACACTCACTTGTTCGAAACGTCCTCAGCAACTGCTGGTCATTTCACTTGTCCATCATCGCAGTGAGTCCTGCTTCGAGCCCAATCTTCTACACTCTGGATAACCGGTTTTGCAGATTCGGAAAGTAAGCCAACAGCGAGTCAATCTCTTCCGTGTATCCAGCCAGCATCACCACCCGCTTTGCAGACACGAAAGTCGGCTGTGACTGACGCGGCTGAAAGAATCGCTGTGCGGGGATGCAATGCCGTAACTTTTTCAGGTATCTGGGAGAATCTCCTCCAGGACCAGGAGGTGGTTTGGGTCGTTTAAATTTCTCGGCAACATTGATGCGCTCAGACATGGACATTCCTGCCCGGAGGGTGAAGACGTGAAACCCCAGCAACTTCAGAAACGCCTCAAGGTGGAACTGGATCATCGGAAAGTGTGCAAACATCATCAGCTTGCGCCGATCCTCGATGATGACCTTCTGCACAATACGGATAAGGGGTATTGCAGTTCTCTCGTTGATCAAGTTCTCGGCCATTATATCATGGCACTCAATATTGATTGCGAACAATATCGCCGTATATCTATCTCACGACCTCTTTTGTCATTTCACTGCTGATGATGACAACTTCATTTGGCAGAAAATAGCCTCCGATGCCCCTCCAGCGCAGTCGCAACATCTAGGGCACGTTTGCTGTCGCCTCTGGGATGTAAACAGCCAATCGTAATGATAACCTCCAATGCTGAACCATCTTGGAAGCTAAACAGATGTCGATGCTTCATTCCCCGGCAGGAGGACTGATTTCACGCTCGGTATTCCGTATCATTCTCATGGAAGACTTAAGCGTCCTTGAGGACATTGGCGGCCTGTGTTTTCTTGGGCCAGTTTCGCCCATAAAAGCGCGTAATAAAGTTCTAATTCAGTTGGTCCTCCAGAGAATTCGAACATCGCGTGGAGAGGGGACTATAGGCCGCAGCTGCATTGGTCCCCGCCAGAAGCCAGAACTGGGGATGATAGCGTGATAGTTGCGAGAATGCAGAATTGACTGCCTCCGTCAGCTTGGCCGAGCGTCTCATGGTATTCATGTTCTCCGATGCTGCCAACTCCTAACATGGTGATATACGCGTCACGTCTCGAGAAGGACATCTTGACTGAAACCAGTGGACACGGTGGGACACTGCACGTGCATAGTCCCCAACCTGAATGAAGACCTTCTTGCATGATTCGGGTAGTATGCCGCGAACGTTTCGCCGTCCTCCTTCTTGCAAAACTTAGCGACCTCTTTAGCTGCCTGCCTGACCATCAGGCCACGGACGAAGAATTTGAGAGTAGGATCCATGAGTAGCAAGGCTTGGAGCCAATTGACTGTTGCTGTCTGATAGCTGAACGTCCTCGAATTGAATAGATTGCATGCATGGGGTGCTATATCGCCCTGGTTACCACCAGCTGCCAGTACAGCTCGTCAGCGATATGTTCGTTCAACTTCGGATCCAGATTGCCTAGGAAGGCTGGACATAGATATGTTTTCCATCAGGCTGGACCCCTCTTCATCAACTGGAGATGGCGATTGCAATCCAGTCAAGCTTGCCTGTGATAGGAAGAAACATGCTGTTGCCTTGCAGACTGGTGCCTGTGGGTCATCTGTCACCCGATCCCGAATCAAGAACCGCATTGCTATGTAGGAGAGGTGCTGCGGGATGGCATAGAAGATCATGTCAGGCGCATCTTGATTCCCGGGTTGCTAAGTAACGTCCCATCTTCTCTAGACGAAGGATATCCGCCCTTGTCAATAAGGGCGGTGACACACCAGAGAGAATTCCACTGACGGAGATCCCTATGGGAGTAGTACACTCTAATCGACGAACCGGACCTGATACAGAACTCTCTCAGATTGAGCACCTTCTGCAGTCACATCTGCCCTGTCCAAGGCCCGCCACTTCGTTGAACAGGCTGATAGTCGGTGCAGACTGCATATTGCCACGATGAGCTTGCCGAATACTGATAGGCTGCTTGTGTAGAGGCCGTAAAGGATGCAGAACTTGCGCGTGACCTTGTCGAAACCCTTGATGAAATTTTCGCAACGTATGGGTGGGAGGAGTGGACGCCAAACTGCTGAAAGGCCTCGACAGTGCGCTGGATCAGCGTCAACGCCAGAGAGCTGGTGTCTCGTCGCTTGTGTCCTGAGACGTCCACACCTCGTGTTGTAAGATCTGCCTCGTCAGGCAGTGCTGCTTCTCATCTAGCTGCGGTGGTCACAAGGTCGGTTGTAGGTGCCTGTTCCCATTTCATCTCGTGGAATTCGTCCTGAAGGCAAGGGAAGAAAAAGGAACCGTCGTCTTCGAGACCTCTTCCAGCTCCACCCAGTACAAGGTTGGGTCAAGTTGGCCAGTGAAGGCCTGACAAATGGGCATCAGACAGGTCAAAGAGGTCGACGATGAACAAACTGATTTTACTGCCTGAGACACGTCCTGACGCGTATTAGAATGATATTCAAAGAGACAGGCAAAGAACAGGAAGCGAGAACAGGCAAGAGGAGTCAGACACGTACAGAGAAATGATGTGCAAGCCGGACTGGTTCGAAGAGATCTCCAGCTGGTTATGGTGCTGGTGGAATGTACATTTCTCTTGGGATGACATGCCATGCCATGGGTGTTATGGACTTGTCATGACCAATCCGACCAAGACCCAGTCTAACACGCGCTGCTTGTGTGAATCATCTGGATCGGGACAACGCCTGGATGACTCGGCATTCTTCTGCATTGCTGTCTGAATTGTATATGCAGTCAATGACAAGAATAGGGCCACATTTCTCAGTGTTCGGTGCCTGCCGCGGTAACAGGTACAGAAAGAGAACAGGTTTCCTTGCAGTCGTGCAGTAGCTCATAATGTAAGAGCGGTGATTTCTTGAGCGTTTAGCTTTTCATAGCTCGATTTGCTCCAACAAGTCCGAGGAACAGGGGTTGTCGATGGCTCTGTACGGCTCAATTGATCCTTTAACAAGCGGCTCGCTGGCAAATTCGTCAAATGCGCAGCCAACAGAACCAGTCGTTTTCTGCTGCTGCTGCGCCATCGCCGCAGTCATAGCAGCGGGAAGATAAATATCCCAACGGCCGGTTTGCCCATATTGTTCAAAAGGAGTGTTGACGGAACTGTATACAACGAATGATAAACCCTTGTCATCAGACGTGATCATGTCTCCACTCAGCTGCATCAACAGCAACAGATATCCTAGAAAGAGGAAATCTGTTGATGCAGCTGGACTGTGTGGGAACGATGGGATAGATCGAGCAATCGATGCGTAAGCAGCTCGCGGTCAGCTCAAATATGACCAGCTCGATCACCAGCGAGATGAGCCAACATGCATCACAACGCTTGGACCCATTCCTGAATCGAAAGGTTGTTAGCATCGCTCATCGAGACAGACTAGCATGGGAATTGCGTACGATTGTCTCGACATCAACGTCATTTGATGTGCTTTCGAAGAGGACCTGGTATTGTTGACTTGGCTGAGTCCGGATGCATGATGCATTCATAACTCGGTCTCCAGCTAGCATCTCTGAACAGCACAATTGCAATCCACGGGATAGTTCCATTGATTAGCCACGTTCATCCGGAATAGTCACTGGAATGGAGACATTTGTTGTGCCCTCTTTGAATTGCACTCAAGCTGCTCGATCGTTAGCAACTTCGACTTCGACTTCGCGACTTGACTTGAAATTCTCCAAGGCTGCTGCTTCATAGTCAGGTATGTATGCCTGTACCGCATCAAACTCCTCTCAAGCCTCGTCAGCTTCAATGCCTGCCCCAGTATGAGATGACTTTCCTCACTACGCCACATTCCAAATCAATCACTTACTTCACTGACTCGACCTGGATGGAGAGGAGAAGGTGGACGATTTTTCCACAATGACCGTTGTTACTTTCAGGTCGAGAGTCCGTCTCTTCCAAGTGTCGTATAACGATAAGACAGATGCGCATGCAGTTCCTTGGTGGAGACGATGTATTGCTTGATTGCCGGGTCGGAGACACCACCTGCTAGCGCCCTTTGAGCTGTAGTACATAGAACAAGAGCTTCAGATAGTCGCTAAAGTTCCGGCGCACCTCCTGCACCCACCCACTCACGATATGGGAGGGCGCCAGGACGAGTGTCGGCCGGTATGTACTGCGCATCTGTTCGGAATCCTTCTCTTTCGTTGGCAACAATTTATTCGTAGCACGCGATTTGCCAGTCGCTGTCGTCGAACATATGTATATACCCCTTCTGTCTTTTGTTCATCGTCACAGAACACCTTCGTCCGATTTTCGTTCAGTTCTCAACGGCGTCCGAACACGACAGCCGCCGGGTACGACTCGTGACAACGGGTATCAACTGCGCCGACATCCGGCACTTGGGTCGAGTTCTCCATGTACATACGTGCTGGAATTGGTGTACCTGGCTGAGCAGTGGGCATGGAGCAGAGACAGACACCGTACCAGCAGCACCTGAGAGGAAGTGTCGATGCTGGGTTTATATCCGTAGCTTGGGAAGACGCAATCAGTGTCAGTCAGAAGTCCACTCGCTAGTTTCGACGGCGAACCGTGGGCAGCATGTTCTTCACCTTCTGGTTCGCTCGGCATGGCGTTATATAGGAGCAGCACTTTGGTCACCACCTAGCCTTCCCAGTCTCCCCCTGTTGACGGTTGGCTTGCTTCTTGGCTGGCTGCGCAGGACCTTCTCCGGCAGGCTGGGTTATATAGTTTCGACATCGGCTTGGCCTTTCGGGAGTCAAGACATTGAAGGACTTGCGATCTTTGGAGATTGGGACGTGACTTGGTATGCTGTCTCCTTCGGTCAGCACGTCTTTGGCCGCGCGGCCCTTGGCTGGTCCTCGACTAGACGACGACTGTTCTGCCAGGATCGACTGAAGTATCTCTGCAGAAACGATGTACCGTCGCGTTCGCGGATCTGACACATTCCCCCAGCCCCAAGGCTACTGTAGAAAAAAAAAAGAGTTGCAGACGATCAGAATAGTGTCGTGGCGATGGATCTCTCAATCCAGCAGTTGACCTGACCAAGTGCGAAGTCGCCAAAATAAGGGTCCAGCACGAGCTGTAAACACGTAATAGTTTTGCCAAGTCCACATTCATCAGCGAGAATCCCTCCTGCAAGCGCGCTCTGCTCCTGCTTCTGCATCCATGCAACCCTGGTGACTTGCCAGGGCTGCAGTTGCAAGGTCCCGACTGTCGTGGAGATGCGCAGCGTATTGTTCATAGACTTCCGTGAGACGGCGATGTCGTGGCATAGCCTCTCATCTCCAGATTTCAACTGTGAAAATTCACCTCGACTCGACCAGGTTAAGTGTACCCGTACCAGGATCTCGTACTCGGGCTGTCCGTATTCGACTTAGAGATCTCCTTCTCAGCCCAGATCAGGGGCTTCTTCTGTCGCTTCGCGCACATGGGGTGTTGAAAAGGTATGTGAAGTACATGTATGTACTTTACTGTTCTCGAAAGAGTCAGCGTTGCTGTCACATAAAATCCTGATTGTATTCCATTCCAGCAGGGGAAGCTCACCTCGTCAATCAGTTCGATAGAAAAAAAATATTGCGAACATAGACAGGTATAGGTTGGAAGGTCAGAGATGATGGCTTTCCCCCACCCACACACCCACCCACCTACCCATCTGAGGCGTGATATCGTCAGGGAAATAAACAAATAAATAAACAAGGACGAAGGAAGTCATGAAGATCCAAAACAATCAATCAGCCCTTGTCGTTTCTGCTAGGCAGTTGTAGAGGAAAGAAAAGGAAGCAGAATCGCCCTCTCCTTCCCTCTTGAAATGACAGCTCTTATATAAAGTAACTCCCTCCCAGACAGAAAGAAGAACGTTCCATGTCCATCAGATTTGCACAACTCTGGTTTTTTTGACTCAGACAGACCCAGACAAAACCTCTGAGTACTGAAAGTTTCATGTTTCAGGTTTGTTTCTTTCTGTAGAAGTTGCGATGCTCTGACGCTCTCCATTGTTGTTGTCTTCTCGGAGAAGAGCACATCAAGTCAATCAACTCAGGCTAAACAAAACAGAGACAGAGAGGCGAAGAGAAGAAAGATGATGAAGGCAGAGAGCTCTGAGATATGTATTCTACAGTACTGTATATAAGACAAGACAAGACAAGATATTATGAAGTACGCATGTATATAAAAATCACATATCACGTGTCAAATATCAAGTATATAAGTGATACAAAGAGAGAGAAGGAACAGAAAGAGAGAAAATACGAAGGAAGGAAGAAGATGAAGGACGAACTTATCTTATCCTTTTACACTACCACTGCCACCGTCACTGCCGGAACCTGTCAGAAGTTAGAACCGAAAAAAAAAATTAAGAAAAGCAAACAGCACAACTCATGCAGAATCAGAGAAAATGGAGCGGAACCGGACAGAACGGAAGAGGATGGATGCAAGCAGCCGCGACAGGAATCAGAGCGGGTACGCACTGTAGGTTAGGTACCTACCTAGGAAAGGAGGGAGTATATGTCCATGCATGGGGAATCTATTTCCTGTTTGCAACTGAGATAATATACGAGCTCTGTGCATGGTACTAGTCATAGTTTCTTCTTGCACATAAGAAGTAGTAAGTAAGCAAGCAAGCAAGCAAGTAAGTAAGTAAATAGCTATAAAAAGCAGTTTCAAAGCTGAGCAGTTTCAGCTGACAGATATCTCTAACGTCAACCAGTGCCAGATCTAAGACACTACTACCTACAAAACGAAATGAAACAAGGCAGCCATCCCTGAAATAAGACATGGAAATAAGACATGATCAAGCAAGCAGATTCTCCATCAAACCTGCATAATAATTTTTTTTAAAAAAAGGTACTATTAACTAAAAATGAGAGAGATACCTGTGTATACTGTACAGTACAGTAATTCGGCATGGTTATGCTTTCATGCAGTGTGCCGCCTGGTCAACCGTCAGTTAGTGTCTTATGATTCATACATACATACATACATATCATAACTGAAGAACCAGAGTGATTAATTAATTGATTGATTGACTGGATAGGCTATATGCACAATGAGAAAAAGCAAAGAGCTTGTAAGTAACCATTACGAGACTTCAGAACAGTGGGCTTAGAAGTATGACAACGGCCATCCTCTACACTAACATCTACCTACCTATCTACTATCTATCTCACCAAAACACACTGGATCGTTTTTTTTTTTGGACAAACATTTAAATCGCCATTGATTGCATTTTCATTCTATGAAGTGCGGGCCCGCCCCTTGACTTGACTTGACCTCTGGTCTCATCTCGTCTGGCCATTCATTGCCTCTAACTAAGCATGTAGAGCACATAGTATCAATCAATCAATCATAGTATCAATCGTAGTATCTAAAATGGCCGGCCTGTAAGAAGAGAGAGAGAGAGAAAGTGAGAGAGAAGCAATTAAAATAGAAACATGCAAGGGAACAACAACAACAAAGTGACGCGATGCGATGCGATGCGACGCGACGCCTTTAAATGATTCAATTCATTCCCGGCCCAGTTGATGACTTTTCTTTTTAAGAGAGAAAAAGAGGATGCTTTTGTGAGACATGCAAAATAAGTGAGTAAAAAGGCACAAGGGAAAGGGGGAAAAAAGAACAGCGCCACCTGCAAAATGTGTATTGTATGTATCACGTATCATAGAAAAGAAACTTCTTTTTTTTTATTCAGATCAACCAGTAAAGGGGTTTTCCTCAGTCATGAAAAGGTCATGCCCAACGGCTTGCTTCCCGCTCCTCCTCGATCCGATCTAGTTCATCATCCTCGTCTTCGAACTTGTAGCTCAGGCGCCGCCCTCCTGCCAGACTGCGTTCGTGCCGGCTCTCGCGACGCCGGCTGACTTTGCTCTCCCGCTCGGCGTTCATAGCCTCGCGCCGCTGCTGTTCCTTGAGCAACCGCTCTCGGTTCCGGGCTTCGCGTTCCAGGGTGTGCGGATCTTTTTCCTGTTCGGTGGCCCTCGCGGGCTTCACGTCTGCTGCACTCCGGTCTTTATCAGCCGCATGCCGCCGGTCTTTCTCGCCGCTCCGCGATTCCTCTCGGTGGCTTCGCTTGGCCCGGCGCGAATGGTGCCGGGATGAGTCACTCTCGGCAGGAGACTCGGAGCGGTCGCGACGTGATCGTTTGCGCTCCCTGTCGCGTTCTCGTTCCCGCTCTCGTTCACGAGCTCGTTCTCGCTCTCGCTCTCGCTCACGTTCGCGCTCGCGCTCGCGATCCCGGTCTCGTTCGCGATCTCGGTCCCGACGCCTCTCACGTTCGCGCTCGCGTTCGCGGTCACGACGCCTCTCCTCTTCGCGACGGCTCCTGCTAATTCGACTCGCAAGATCGCCTTTATCCACTGCGTAATCCTCAGGGGTAGCCGACTCTCGATCGCGGTAGCGAGACTCTCCGTTCCGGCTTACGCTACGACTGCGGTGGCGGCGTGAGCGGTGCGAACGATGCGAACTCTTGCGATCCCGGTCCCGGTCCCGGTCTCGTCGGTGCGAGGAGCGTCGTGGAGATTCATCCCGGGATGGGGAGCGCGAACGGTCGTCGTCTCCCTTGGACAACCCGTCTTCTTCCTCCTCTCGACGAGCCTTCCGTCTGTGGCGCTCTCGCCTCCTGTCCCTGTCATCTTCGCTGTCGTAAGGAGTCTCGGATCGATCCCGATGGTGACGGTGATAGCGGGACGGGGATTCTGATCGTGAACGAGCTCGAGATTGGGATCGCGATCGCGACCTCGACCTCGACCGTGCCCGAGAGTGCGACGGAGATGGAGATTTCGGACGAGTGTCCTCTTGACGGGCATTTCCGGGAGTTGCGCTACAAAAAAAAACGTTAGATATCGGACAACATTGGCCATGGAGAATGTGCGTACCTTCTGGAGACTTCGGCCGATCTCTGCGGCGGCATCGACCCTCGTCCCTGGAACGGAAAGCCGCGTCCTCGCATGCTGGTGTTGGGCAGTCCTTCACGCATGGCACGAGGTGCTTGTGGCGCGCCTTCGACGCCTTGCCCCATGCCTGGCATCGGCTGAAAGCTCCCATTCGGATAGCCGCCACGTCCACCGTAGAAGCCTCCTCGCATGGGTGGCCGCCCGCGTCCATAGCCCGCTTCCATCATATGCGTTGGGCCAGTAGGGATTGCCTGAGGGCGAGAAAAAGCCTGGTCGATACTTTCGATAGTCGGAATACCCTGGAGCTGCTGCTCCGATTGCGGCGCTGCTGAGGCCTCCTTTTCGCCCGCCGTCTCCTCTGGTTTACCGTCCGGCGCAGCAGCATTATCGGCGTCTTTAGTCTCAGAAGCAGAAACACCAGCTCCGTTGGTGTTGTCCTCTTTAGGTTGGCCCTCGGCGAGATCATCTTCACCTCCAGGAGCCAGTTCTTCGTTAAACTTCTTAACATCCGCCTCAGACGGCGCACCCTGCTGGGGCGCAGGGGCGTCGGACTCCTGAGCCTGCGGAGGTATTTGATTTGAGAACGCTGCTTGGTTAGTATTGTTTCCTGGGTAGTTCTGATTAGCATTCATCGGTCCTAAGAAGCCGCCACGACCTCGGCCGCCTTGGTAGTAGAAGCCACGGCCGCGGCCGCGACCCATCATCCCTCGCCCGTAGCCAGGACCATGGCCATAGTACCCGTTCTGGAAATCTTGGTTAGGGAATTGCGATGGTTGCTGCATCTGAGAATAGTTCCCGTTGGAGTGGGACATATTATAACCGCCAGCAAATCCTGAGGCGCCATAATCAGGGCCCATACCATTCGCGAATGCAGTTGGATTGTATTTATCTTGGCCTCCATTCCACATATTGTTCTGTGAGTTGTCCCATCCTCCATACATCCCTTGTCCTGCATCAAAATTCATCCCCATGTTCATGCCATTGCTCATATCATTCATGTTCATCCCAAAACCTCCAAACATCCCCTGAGCCGCTGCCATCGGGTCCATACCCATCCCAGGCATTCCTGCAAGGACAGACATGTCAGCCGCCGTAGTTTATGGGATGCATCGTCATTAAGGTGACACCTACCCATAGGATTCTGGAAGTTCGCCATCGCATTAGGCATGAACTGCCCCATGGAATTAAAGTCCTGAGGTCCGCCCCACCCCATGTTCGGCATCATTCCCGGAGCCATCCCAAATCCCATGGGGTTCGGGAACATCTGTGTAGGTCCATTGAACTGTCCCATTCCTTGCTGGCCAGACTGGGTACCGTCTTCGCCCGAAGCATCCGCACTGCCTTCAGCGGTGCCGTTCGGTCCGGCGCCCTCGGGTCCTTCATTTTCGCCGGCGACACCGTCGGCAGGTTCCTGGCCCTTCTCGACGAGGTTAGTGCTGGATCTTGGTACTCAGACAATGAGGGCCGCACTTACCTCATGAGGCGCTTGAGGCTCGCCATCTACCTCACCTGCATTCTCCGCCGGGCCCTCGACTGGCGTGGCGTCAACGGAAGGTTCTTCAGTCTTCCCGTCTCCGCTTGGAGCAGCTGCTGACGGCTCAGGACCACCAGAATCCTGACCAGCAGAGACAGTAGTGGTCTGAGCCCCTGTCTGATTTGCGGCGCCGTCGACAGGTGTCGCGACGGTCGGTGTCGTGGAGGGTCGGTCCTTTTCCCGCTTCTTCTCCTCCGTCCGCAGAAAAGCTTTCAGGGTGGTGCGAAGCGCCTTGTTAGGTTTACAGAGGTCGGACGAGATGGGATGATGATCGCAGACGGGGCAACTCTCCGGCAAAGACTGCTGGCCTGGACAGCGATCAGTATCTTGGGCCACCCACTCGAAACCCCCAGAATGTAGCAGTGGGTTAAACTTACAATTTTCGCATATTGCTTGGTCGCAACATGGCAGTCGAAACGCGTTGATGGCCAGCTTATTGCAGATAGCGCATCGCAACTTGAAAGGAATTTCATCCTGAGTGAGAGAGCTGGAGGACGTCGCGTTAGCAAGTAAACCCGGTCCACAAGTAGTCGTTCATTCAGAGAGCGCTCCTCTCACCTTGCGATATCCATCAAGCCCGCGGACGGGTCTGTCGACGCCATCGCTGACGAGGTTGCAGTTGTCGGAGCTTCCCCAGTGGACGTGGCTGAGGCGACCGTTCTCACGCAGAGGTAGAGGCAAAGTCAACGACAAAGAGCGCAGACATGACGACAATGCCAACGGCCCGAATGCGCAGACACTGTTTTTTCTGCCTACACAAAGGGCTGTTGGGGAATGGCAACGGGGGAGCGCCTTTGATCAATATGGTCTCAATAAAACTGCCGGATGGATCGAGACTGCGGATTCTTCCCCGGTGTGCCCGGCCCGGAACAACGTTTCCCCATCTGGTTTCCCGAACCAGTTAGTGACTGCAATGCTGCGACTGTACGGCGGTACATACAGGTAAAAGAGCACATCAATCAACGCAGATTGACTTTATTCTCGAATTTTAGGCCTTTTCCTTCTTCTTCTTCTTCTTCTTCTTTTTTTAGGTGCTACATCTATTTTTGAATGTGATGTTATCCTGCTGCGATGGTGGTTTGGTCCTTATACAAACGCCACTTTTATATTTTTCTGTCCTTTTAACTATGCTCTAATGTTTCCATTAGGATTCCTACATTTAATTATCGCACAACAATATCGTCAACGAACACGCAAGCGATACTGTCCGACAGAAGACCTCTCCTACTCTAATTGAAAGTAATGGCTCAAGGGAGGAGATTGGGATGGTGGGTTTTGTGCGGACAGGGGCGAATATACTCCGTATAGGCCACTGAACCGAACGAAGCATCTAGGGCAACACCTCAGATTAGATCAAGTAATTCTTCAACTCTCATTGATGCGGGTTGATAATCTGGACAGTTGGAGACGGGCCAGCGATACCGCAGAGGCAGCCTCCCGGTTTCAGCCCAGCACGCGTCTGTCCACCCGGCATCTGGAGTCACTGCTCCGGTCATCACTGGAGCGCCCTAGATAGATAATTCGATGACGTTGCAACGGCAGGATATGACCAGGATCAGTTGAGAGTCTGGAATAAAGCATCAGAAAGAAGAAATGAGAAGAAATGTCATGGTATCGGAGACGGTCGCCACCGAGAGAGCAACATCAAGCTCTCTCTTGTTGAAAGAAAAGTCGAAAATCAATCAATAGACCCTGGCGACGACAGTCCAATGCGCCTACGTAGTAGACAGACAGCTAAGGTCGAATTATCTTCCTCTTCAAGTTAGTTAGTACCGCCGTAAACTGTATTTCATCAAACTTCATCAACTGTTGAATGGTCCGTTGTGTGACTGTTTTGGTGGACTGAGCTCTGGCTTCAGATGGTACTCTGGCTCTAAGCTCTCTGGGCACGTTGGTATTAACTAGCTTGCTCTTTCACCAGGGGATCAAGTTCACTCATGCAGTTATCTTCGGATCAGTGAATCGCCGAGAAAGCGATCGGCGGCGATCTCGATGGCAATGCTACGCACGTGACTTGGGGTGGCACGGGAGCCAATCAAAAATTCAGGATCGGAGAGTCCGCGAAGAGAATGTCCCGGTCGGTGAGCGGACCATGGCCGTGGAGGGGCAGCATGACGATCAAGGGTCGCGATGAGGACGACGGTGGTGAGAGCTGTCACTGTCAGTGCAGGAGGAAAAGCAGTATCAGGCGGTGAGATCAGAAGGTGAAGAGGCCAGGGCGGAGCTACCTTAGGTATACGATATCCCGCAGATCGAGGGGCCGAGGAACGGTGACTTGATGCAGAATCTGATAGGTGGTGGCAGTGAAGGGAGGCGCTGACTGGCGCGCACGACCCAGGGAATCGTGCGTGCTCGCAGGGCGGCGACAGAAGCAGCGCAGGGTTAAAAGGGCCGCGACGTCCCGCGCCCAGCAGCTCCTCGACGAAGCCCCCTCGTACTTCCACGCACGCCCGTCTCCAGCCACGCTTCCGTTCGCGACAAGTGCCCCCACTGGGACGCCCTCTCAGCCCCTGTCTGCTGTCTCCACGCACCGCGCACGCACCGCTGGGCCAGTCCCCTCTGCGCGCTTGGCTTATCGCGATAAAAAAATAAAAATAATAGCAGTGCCGCGACTTCCGGAAAATACGAAAGACGGACCCCCACGACCTGCTGCTTTTCTCTGCGCAGCAGAAGAACAGTAGCAGGCAGATCCTCTGACTATTACAGGTGACTCAGCTGTTACAACTTGCAGTGGTGTGCGTGTTGGGCTTGGATGCAGTAGCAACACGCACCATCCAGAGCATCCAGATTAGTGGCCGGACAGCAGCGGTAAGTTACCACACTGCTTGCTTGACTTCGTCTGTTTCGCGCCTGTGGGTCAACAGGGAACCACAGAAAAATAAAAAGGACGCTCGTAGCTGACAGCCATCTACTGGTCCCAGCAATGACAGATCCAGACAGCTCCTACCGCCCTCGTTCCCCCGATTTCTCCTCCTTCCAGCCTGCCTACTCCGCCCCCGTCAACACCGCCTACCAACCGCCCGCGCCATATCCCCTGGCCAGTCCGATCGCCCAGCGCGCTTCCTACGACGCTTCTCCGTTCTTCTCCCCACAGTACCAGCAGCGGCCTCCCGTCGTCAACAGCCGCATTCCGCAGCAGTACGTGCCGCCGTCTGCTCCCTACGACGCCAACTCCGACATGTCTCGTCGCACCACCCGGTCATCTACCGCCGCCCAACAGCAGGCCCAACAGGGACAACAGGCCGTCTTCGAGACTCGCATCCCACCTGCCCCTCCGGCGCAGCCAGTGGAGCCGCCGAAGCCCAAGCCCTGGGATGGAATCGAAGTCAAGACCAAGTTTCCGGTGGCGCGCATCAAGCGGATCATGCAGGCCGATGAAGACGTGGGCAAGGTGGCACAGGTCACTCCCGTCGCAGTGTGTACGTATCTGTCTGGATTTTCCCTTTTCTCGAGTTCTGTTGACTGACAATCGGTCCAGCGAAAGCACTGGAGTTGTTCATGATCTCGTTAGTCACCAAGGCTGCGAAAGAGGCCAAGGATCGCAATTCCAGACGGATAACAGCCCTTCACCTGAAGCAGGCCGTCGCCAAGGACGAGGTCCTGGACTTCCTGGCCGACATCATCGCCAAGGTGCCGGACCAGCCGGGCAAGAAGGGCGACGATGACGGCAGCGATCACAACGAGGGGAAGAGGAGATCGGGCGGAGGACGGAGGAAAAAGGAGATCGATAGCGACGACTTCTAGCCTCGGACAATCAGTCCTCCACTTCGGTCTCTATATAATCTTCCTTTTCCCGCTTGTATCGGATCTCGTGCAGCTGGATTCCGGGATCTTTTAAGGGTGATGATAGATATCGGATGGGTTGCATAGGCGCGTGGGTTCTCTGTGATGTTTTTCCTAATGGCGTTTGCTTTCTGGTTGCGAGTAGTCTGGGACTGGGCTTCCTGCATCGTGTGCATGTGGATATCCTCCCTCCACATTTTTGTTTTTCTTTCTTGCATGTTTGTCTTAAGATTCTGGAGTTGCAATGTCTGGTTTGCGCCATGTCCTGCAAACCGGACAAATGAAGACGAATGGGCTGGACCTGGTCGTCATTGCAATGGTTATGCTTCATGCCATCCTTCTCTCTTCGTAATGATCCATCCAATGTAGGCCAAGTTGTCTGTGTACATACTAGTAACTACCTACCTAACGTATGCGTACTCCGTACATAGCTAGGTCGGTATATGGCTGCCAGACACGTGACGGTACCTCGTGCTTCCCGTGACTGCAACTCAGCCTTTTCCGCTTTGGGGCCAGCTGTCTCGCGGTGGAGTCGGAGCGCGTCTCTTCCGTCCAGCGATCAACGGAGTTGCTTGACCTGCCTTTCCCCCGCGGTGGTTGCTGGCTCCGAGAAATATGCTGCCGGCGCCGAACCATGGACTTTGTATGACCCCAGAAATGCAAATCGCAGGCTGCCAGTTTTGAGAAAATGGTGGACGAATGCTGATTGTCTTCCCCAGTGGTCACGTCTCATTGGCGGTTCCCGCTCGCTATCCTCCCGATCCCCCCGAACGACCTCCCCGGCTGAACGACTGGCGGCGTTCAAGCGGACATGCAATACACTGCAAGTAAGTTTGGAGCTTCATTTCTATTCCTGCCTGTCCTACTGTCTGACAGGGAGCCTGGCAGCAAATCTGGCGGACGAGTAATGCTCCCACCGAGCTGGCCGCTACCATTCATGCCCGCAATTGCATCGACCGCCTCAATGCTGTCCTCAGCGACGAATCGCGGGGTCCCGCGCCTCATCCTTGTCTCGCCTATGCCTCCACATCGCAGATCTATGTGACGGTCACGAAGCTGGCTCTGACCTACCGGGATGAGGACTTGATTGCCTCCGCCTCCGTCTTCTTTAACACCCTGATCGACGCTGAGGTGGACGGCATCGTCGACAGCCGGGTCTTTTCGAGAGCTCTGATAGATCTCGTCCGGAGATCGGGATCGGCCATTGAGGATGTCGAAGGGAGACTGGTAGAGCTGTTGTTTGGCGTTGCGAACAACATCCGTCTGCAGCCCAGGATCTTGCCCGCCTGGTTCGCACCCAAGCAGTCATCGAACCGGGAGCAGCACCCCATTACGGCGGAAAAAGGATTTGCTGGGGCAACCAGGAAGGATGACTTTCCTCTCTTTTATCTGCTTGTCGACTATGTCCATCGCGAGGGCCGGGCCGGCGACTTTGCCCGGACGGGTCTGCTCTACTTGATCGAGACGGCAACACGGTCTAAAGACTTGGAGAAATGGCTTATAGAAAGTGACTTGGCCACGCTTATGGCAACGGGTTTAGGTGCTCTATACAGTCAACTAAGCAGGTGGGTAAAGTGATAACTCCCTGTTGCCGTTCCGAGCTGACGTCGTCTCTAGGCACTTATCTTCGGCATTAACAGAGGATAACATGCCTACGATCATCGCCCTGTCTGACGAAAGTAGTTCCCGGGCTGCGGTCAAGCCCTACATGGGGTCAGACATGGATGCGTTCCTTTCCTATCTGCTGTTCTGGCAGGATACCATCGACCATTGTCGGTCCGCCGAAGTCAACGATACCTTGTTGGACCACTTTCAAGTGCTATTTTTGGAGCAGCTTCTGTTCGTCACTACTGGTTTAACTTTGATGGCTTCAAGGCCGTACTGACTCTGCCACAGCTACCCCTCTCTCCTCGAATCATCCGACGTCGAAGGCGGCTCAACGTCGGCAGTCCTGACGTATCTTCACCGAATGTTGGAAGTGATCGACCAGCCGGAACTGATTCATCGCATCCTCCATTATCTGCTCGCCTCTCCATCCGATTCACAACCGACTGTCGATGCGGCACCATCTCAGAAGGATATGTCAGTTAGCCGGAGAAAGTCCTTGGACCTGCTCGCAGCGTTTGCGGAGGAGGCTGCTAAACCGTCCCCGTCTCTCTTTAACCTGGTAGACTTGATTTTAATGAGCATCAAATCGCAGAACCGAGAGACCGTTGTCGCTACGCTGAGGCTGTTGACGGTGATCTTGCGCAGGCACCATTCCTTCGCAGGATCGTTGATCAAGACGTGTCCTCCGGTCCGGGATACCCGGCGGACGGTGGGCGCGTTGAACGCGGAATTGCGACAATTGCTGTCACTGGCCACCTCGATTGTTGACGACCCTTCCATAGACGCATCGTACGACAATTACCTGAGAGATGCCGCGCTGATTGTCGAGTCTCGCCTATTTATTGCTCCCTCGCCGGGTACCAGCGTTGCGGACGGACCGGCTGACCGACCGCTGGATGTCAGAACGGACGATCTCATCTTCAAGGAGCTGCTGAGCTTGTTGGAAAACTTTTTCACCAACAGTGTTGTGGTAAACCTGGCGTTGACGGAAGTGATCACCAGCCTTGCCTCTTCCAACTTGGTGTCTCTTGATGGCTGGCTGCTTGTCGAGCCGTCCAACTACGAATACAAGGCGGATGCAACGCCGCGGTCGCGGGTTGTGTTCTCCGAGCCGGATGGCAAGACAAAGACGCCCGAGTCAGGCATTGAAGATCTTATAGCAGTTGTCAAGCAAGCGCACGCAGAGCCCACTTGGTCGAGCGAGAACACACCTCCGATTCCGAAAGTCCTGCGGCGGCTGGTCGGATATATCGCACAATGGCGACGTGATATGCCCGATTTTGACGTTCTCGTGGCTGCACGGCGGGAGCTTCTTCACAGTGATGACCAAGCAGGCACCGACCGATCGGCCAATGCGTCTCGACAGCCGTCCGAGCCTCCGACGACGCGCACGTCTATGGAACGTCCTTTGCAGCGTAACGCACGGGCTGAGTATGAGTCCGGTTCACCGCGGGGACGGAGTACACGGCCTTTGGATGAGGGTCCATCTTCGATGTCTCCGCGCAGCGTCGGGTCACCTTTGCGCGAGGCCGCAACCGACTCGCGAACGCCGTCCAAGCCGCGGCCCGTTATCGCTGAAGATCTGCGTCGACGGCTGGCGACGCAGTTCTGGATTGACAGCACGGGTCGGTTGGTGTCTGAGGAGGGAGCTAAGGTGGTTGACGGCGAGCCTGCTGGGGATGCATCTCCAGAAGCGGCTAGGAAGGTGACGCTTGGGCACATTCTCACTAACGCCGTGATCCTGCAAGAGTTTATCTTGGAGCTCACTGCACTGGTGCAGGTGAGGGCGACATTGTTCGAGGAGGCGGGCTACCTGATGAATCCGACAGTAGACAACTTACAGCTGCAAGAACTCTAGATTGTCCCTTTGCATGGTTGTGTCCGTTATATACCCTTGTGTTAGCTATCTTATTGACGTTTGTATTCAGCGTAACTCTAGACTTGTCTATGTCTATCAGGTTTAGGAAATCCAAACGCACTCACAATACCTGAGCTTCTTATTTAGTGCATACAACTTTGGTCAAGTAAAGCCATCAAGCCAAGAAGAATCAAGGATATTAATTTATTATCAAAAAAAGCATACTGTCAAACCATCAAATATCATATGAGATTTGCTATTATCTCTGGCCTAGGTTCGATTTATTATTCTGCATGCATGTACGAAGGCAAACAATCGCCATACGCAGAGAAAAAAAAGATCAAAAAAAGCAATCAAAAAAAAGCATTAAAAGAAAAAGGGCAGAAAGAGAAGTGCAACTCAATACTAAAGTTCATGAATAATCCCTTTTGAACTATTCTCCTGAAGGTCCCCTGTCTATATCGCCTATAGTTTTCCTAATATTCGTAGGAGTCACGCTATATACCTTAGTTTATAAATCCTTATCTTAGGTATCTACTTTGATATCTTGCAGGACCGTAACCCATACGAATTGATGATGAGCGAGTACTGATTCGTAATCTCCTGAGACCTCCTAGGAGTGCAGAAGAAGAGTCACATTTGATTTTATGATCCTTGACAGGCTCGACCAAACGAACCTGCAGCAGATATAAATAAATAAATAAAACTCATCCATTATTCGGTCTATACCACCAACTGGGTATTTGTTTATTTATTTATCAAACTACTTCTACTCGATACTAGAATAGTATAGTTCTTCTTGATGCACAGAACAGGATGAATGGCCTAGGCTAGGCATGTTCTTTGCATGTCAGGAATCTCGCATATAGCATACATACTGATACTGGCGAGAAGAAAAAAAAAGACAGAGTATGATGTTGAAGATGACCATTGCAGAGACAATATTTAGTTGTAAGGGTACAAGGCTTGTAAAACCCTCTCTCTGTTCCATTCTGCAGATACACCAATAATGAACCACTCCACGGCGTATAACACCACATGATAAACAACAACATCGCCTACTCCTGCAGGTGAAGAACAAGGACAGTGTCTTGTCCAGACAGACAAGAGGAAGACGAGCAGAGCTGTCCAGCAAGAAATACGTTAATATATACAATATGGCCTCTTAACTGGAAATGGGTAAAAGACACATACATACATAACATAATAGCTAAGTAACGCAGATATATAAATAGCAGAATCCACACCACACTACTAGAGATATTGATTATAAATGCATTGTATTTACCTTATTAGGTATTAGGTTATTAGTTCTATATATGTTAGTCTAGCAGCTTTAGACCATTAATAAAGAAGATTATTTCCTTTTTTTTTTCTTGTATTTTTCGTTTTAAAAAAAAATACTATTACAATACAATAAGATTTCTAATATCCCTACTTAAGAGACGCATATTAAATTAATAGCGAAGATTAGTAAACTAGATGTATCTTTATTTAGTATCATCTACCTAATCTATCTATCACACTAGGATACGGCGTATACAATAAGTAGGATGTATGCCTACACAAACACAAATCGCACATGGACATGGACATGGCGTGGAAAGAAATCCGTCTATTCTTACTCCGTAATAATTCTTCTGGTCCAGAACACCGTGGACTGGTTGCGCTGGGTTGGCGTTTCGCGGCTTAAGCTGTTGAAACGGCTGGCGTCAACGGCGCCGAGGCTGACGTGCTTGTCTTGCAGTATCCATTATTTGTTCGGAAGGGCGCTCGATACGATACGGCATCTGGTTTCCGATGGATCTAATAATTAGTTAGTTAGATTAGATTATATTATAGGTATTATTACCTTCCGCGTTTATTGTTTTGACTATATATAGATACTGTAGCTGAACATCACATCTGAATCCGTCAAACAAGTCAACTAACATCAATTACCCATCCACACAGATAAAGAAATACTTCAAACATGCCCACCAAAGACAGCAATAACCCCCTACGAGTCCTCATCGCCGGGGCCGGCATCGCCGGACTCGCAACAGCCATCGCCCTGAGAAGGATCTCCAACATCAACGTCGACGTACAACTGTACGAGCGAGCGAGGGAGTTGAAGGAGATAGGGGCTAGTATAGCGCTGAGTCCGAATGTAAAAACCAGTTTTCTACTCTAATCTATTCTCTTCTATTTTTTTGTTTTTTTTTTGTGCTGACTGCCTGCCTCAGGGTCTACGAACACTCGAAAAGCTAAGCGTGCACAACGCTCTAGACGACGACGTAGCGTTCAGAGGACCGAGTGGGATTCCGATGATATATCGGTTTGTTACATAAAAAAAAAGAACTATTTGAAATGTTTGCTGATGGAGGTTTGCAGCCACTGGAAAACAAGCCGCATCGTCAGCTACGACTCCTTCGTCAACGTCCCGCTGCGTCGGCATCAAACGGCCAGATTCCATCGTGCGCATCTGCACCAGGCACTGCTGAAGCATGTCCCTAGGGACATCATCCACCTGGGCAAGAAGGTCGTTCGCGCAGAGGTCCGTGATGAGCGGGTGGTTGTGTTTTTTGCTGATGGTACGAGTGCGGAAGGCGATGTGTTGATTGGGGCTGATGGGATTCGTTCTGTGAGTACATACATAACCCCCTACCTAGATTGAGTAGCGCTGACATCAAGCTTGTAGAAAGTCCGACAGTCCTTTGCCCCAGACCACCGGTTGCGATGGACAGGCAGGATCTTCATGCGCTCTACGTTCGATGCCTCGCTGGTCGAGGGCAAAGTCCCTGATCTGCCGCCTGATTCGACCCATTGGGTGTGTGCATACACGAAATCATACTATACCTTCTATACCTACCGTCTAACTTGATGCAGTGGGGCCCTCGAGAGAATTTCTTCGCTTCAAAGCTCGGTACGCAATCATCTGATTGAAGACTTTAACCCGCTTACTTTCTTACTGATAATACGTAGGCAAAAACCAATTCACCGTCGTAGGCAGCTACATCGACAAACGCAGTCCAGAAGAGCTAGAGAGACAAGTCTCATGGGACCAGGAAGGCGACATCAAGTTGCTGCGGGAGAGGTACAGAGTACGTAGAACATAAAACATTCCCGGTCGAATCTATACTTAATCATTGACTATTACTTAGAACTGGAACCCCACCGTCAAAGCCCTCGTTGACCGCACTCCCTACACCCGCCTCTATCCCAACTATGCGGGCGATCCCCTTCCCACATGGACGTTCGGATCCCGCGTAACGCTCGTCGGGGACGCGGCGCACACTCACGGCGGCGCCTTTGCGGCTGGAGGATCGCTGGCGCTGGACGATGCGTATGCTCTGGCATTGGCATTTCGACACGTTTTCGGCTCTGCGTCGTCAGCCAACGTACCACTCTCACCTGCTGCAGCTATCAGCAAGGCACTGAACGTNTACGGACCAAACGCGCCGGCCACATGCAGAGCGACTGCTGAAGATCGTCCTGGCTGGCATCGATAAAGCATCCGCCGAGCAGACAGCGGCGCTCACAGAGGAAGAAGAAGAGGACGCTGCACTCATTGCGAGAATGACGAATCGCCCTGATACTACCTGGTTGACGGAGCATGATGTGGAGGAGGCGTTTGCGCGTGTTGTGCAGGCCAGAGAGGAAGTACAGAATCAAGACCAGAGACGGGTTTCGACGATAGGACAATCTGATTTACGCGAGAGTAAGCTCTGAGATCCAAATTGCACTGCTGTAAGAATTTAAGAAGATATCATTATAGGAAGTCGACAAGGTGTACAGTACATTAGGTATCAAGGAGGAGCAATGAGAGGAAGGGTTAGAATAGTATTAGTAGTACTATGATGATAATAATAATGAATTTATACCTGATTTTACACACAGGTCTACATGTTTCTATGCACGATGTTCCAGTTCTAACTCCCCAACACAGGAAAGAAAATAATGGATGATGAGTCATGCAGTCATTAAAGTGTCTGTAAGTATTCTAAGTAGTCAAGTAGCTATGGATAGTCCTTTGTGTAATGAAAGGATAGTCCACGTGCCTCGTTAATGGACCTTCCACATGTGATGGCGTGGAGGATCCAAGTACATCGTAGGGTGTGGCCGTCCATGTCGCTGTACGCGACAGTGAATGCAAAGATTAGGGAAAAAAAATGTCGAAAATAGTAGAAACCATAGAATATAGTAAATATCATGTCGAGAACGGTCTCCGCTATGCCTTCCAGCTTGTATATTCTCATCTGTTTTGATATCTGTGGTTGACACGCGGCAATCTGTTTATTCAATAAATACAGTGTACCTAGGATCTTTATTCAAGGTCATCCCTGGCTACAATGTTTTCTTGTTGCTCTGTTCTGGCTCCACATTTTGGAACTAGTGTAGAAAGCCAGCAACATGCCGCGTTAAGGGTTGTCTGTACTGATATATACCCTTGTCAGCTTAGCGGGTGGTATAAAAGGGATCTCAAGCCTGTTCTTGATCATCTCCTGGTTAGATAGTCGAATTCTGGTATCGTCTCGTTTGAAGACCTTTCTTCCTGCAATTTTGAAGATGTACGATACTTTCTACTTAGATAGAGTCTATCTAGTGACATCCATCAATATCCACAAGAAGAAATGTAATATCAAATTTGTCGCGACTGGGTTCGCACGGAAGTTTGTGTTCAGCGTGTTCCACTGGATGAAAGCAAGACACTAGCACATGGCTTCTCCCTGAGTCGTTCTAATACTTTTTCACGGAGAGCTGGCAGGGGATCATCAGGAAACTCATGGCCTTCATGCTTTTCGAGTGCAATTTCCTGAAGCTTACTGAAGTCCCACTTAAGCCCTCATGACTGCAACTTGTGCCCAAGGCATCAATTCGAAATCTGTCCAAGGAATTCGTTCAAATCCAGAGCGGGGAGTAAATATTAATGCTTGCAAATCGTTGTGGGTGTGCTCTGCCTCGACGAAAATTAGGCATGACCCAGCATCATCTTCCAAGTTGAAGTCCTCCTCCTTAGGAAATTGCTGGGAAGTGAATACAGCATCCCAGACAGATTGCAAGATGGGGAGGCAATCCATAACTGCAGAATGTTAGCGCAAGAAGCAGAATAATTGGCTAAGGTTCAAAAACCTAG